TTTTTTTGAAGTGCCGGAAAGCTGGGGATGGGGTCAGGCAGGGCAGCCCTGGGGACTTCTTCTGCAGCTCCTCCGACTGTGCCTACCTCTGCCCCAGTGCAGAGAGCCACACCCCACAGGGACTCAGCCCTGCTCCCGCTTGCTAAGCCAGTGCGGGGGTGGGGAGGACACGATGCAGGCACAGTTAGCTTTGGGCAGCAGCAGGGCATAGCCCCTGCTCCCAGTGCTATGGCACCCACATCAGCACTGGGAGCAGGGGCTCTGCCCTGCCACCACTTCCAGGTGGGGCGGAGGAGTGGGATGTGGGCACGGTAGCACCAGGGGCAGGGGCTATGCCCTGCTGCTGCTTGCCCCCTTCTGCCTGTAGCAAGCTGCACCCGCATTCTGCCTCCTCTCCCCACCCTGGCTGGGCAAATAGCAGCAGGGTAGAACCCCCACTCCCAGAGCTGCCACGCCTGTATTCTGTGCTTCCCTGCGGGCAGCTTGTCCCAGGCCCAGCCCCAATCCCTCTCTCCCCCATACCCCTTCCTTTCCCCCTCCCCCAATCCCAACAGACTTACCAGCTGGAGGCAGCTGTCAGCTGCCCATTTAGTCTATGGCTGAATCTCCGAATCAGCTGAATCTTTTCCCAAAGCTTTCCAAATTGATTTGGATGCTTTGAGTCAATTCAGAGCTTTTACTTGGTCTCCTGATTTGATTCAGATTTGGAGATTTGGTCCCTGAATTGGGCCGAATCTCCTCCAAATCGAATCAGCTACCGAAGCTTCACACAGTCCTACTGTATACCTCTGTAGAGACTACAAGGTCAAAAACAGGGTGTGCTGTATTGAAAATTGCTACCTGTAGCAGTTGTTAACCTATCACTGTGTGATTTACTCCTGCCAGAAAGTCTGCAGGAGGTTTATTTTCATATTCTGAAGTTTTGGGGAGAAAATACTGTATTGATCTCCTTGAGCAATTCTTCAGAGGCCCGAGGTCCAAAATGGCCAGCATGTCATTATTTCTCTTTATAATATATGAACCTCATGTCCTTTCCAAAATCTCTCTCTCTCTTTGGAACTGTTTCTATGACTCTATTGTGTACAAGGTGAGTATTGTATTTGGCATCTGCTGATGTTACAAAGGATCTTATTGATAGTATTGGTTTATTTTATTTTACTTTGAATAAAAGATAAACTTGTCCCAAGAACAACTGGTTCTACTTAATATCTTATCCTGACCATTTTAAGTACACATATTATGAGGGGGCTTACTCCTAGATAAGGGCTCACTCTCAAATACTGCCCAGCTTTGGGAATTCCCAAAACAAGAAACACTTTTAAGATTCAATAGTTTTCCAGATATCCAAGCCTGAATCCCCAGAACACATAGCTAAGGCCTCAGAATTCCTGGCGCTTGGAGGAGGTGGGTCTTCATAGAAACACCTTTGTCTCCACTCTCCCTAAAATGCTCACCAACAAAATATTTAAAGGATATGAGAAATGTTTCAACTGAAACTAGAGATGCTTTTGGGACACCTCTTTGTAAATTTGAATCTACAATAAATCTGATTCGAGTGAAACATCAATCCTGAAAAGGCCCTCAGGAAATCTAGTTTAAAGTAGATTTTATATTATGGTTATTCCCATCTCACTGTTGTTTGCATGGTAGCTTCAGTTGACCACAGTCCTCCACAGTAAGAAACTGCAGTTGATAATCTCAGCACTGTGGCTGCTATGTCCAAATTTAATCTGTGTGATGTGTTCAGCAAGAATAATCCTTTAGCTAGTATAAATGTGGATTTTTGTAATGAGGTTTAACTTTAGCTAGAGTAATGAAGAGTTTTTAGTCCTTCGATATAATCAGGTTTTGAGAGGGATTTCCTGCTCCACATTAATCCACCTCTTGGAATCCAGGTAAGGAATCACATAGGCCTTTTCAACTTTGCAACTTTTTTGATGTTTCATTTCTTAAAAAAAACACAGCACCTATGAAGTTAGGATCACTTTTTGTCATTAATTTGACAAAGTTGAGCTAAGAATCTGAGTTAGCTCACTCAAACCTCCCACTTTATAGATTTTTTCTTTTTGTGAGAGACTGTTTCAGGAGAGGTTAAGAGACTGTGCTGTTTTTTTTAAGAGCTGACTGTCAGCAGTATATTTCACCATTCCCTGTGTAAAACTACTAGGAAGGGGTGTAAACCTTTGAGGGGGAGATGACAGTATGTGGGAGATTGCAAGGACAGTCTGCTGGCATGGATCCTCTGTAAGGAAAACAGTACCACTATGTGGCTTTCTATAGCACCCCAGGGGCATGTCTACATGTCACATTTTTTGCCCTCTCTTGAGCTGCAGTGGTGTGACTGTTTGCATGCGTGGGTTTTCTGGATGCTTTAAAAGTCTTTCTGGTGCATTAAGCTAAAACTCCTTGGACATAGTTTTGTTTGGCTCACCACGAACTAAAGCATTGCACCCATGGATTTATTGTGTGCAAACACAAAGGGGCTCAAAGATGTGTAATAAGCCTTTGTCCACCAGATGGTGATGCGACTTTTTTCTAGTTCACCCCTTTGTCCACCCCTCTGCTGCTTTTTTTCCCCCTTGTGCCATGTGCCGGCTCCCTGCTCCCATAGCTGTGTGGGGAGCCCTGGGAAGGTCTAGGGAGCAGTACATCCCACTTTCATAGTTTCATAGTTAGTAGGGTTGGAAGGGACCTGAGCCGATCATCAAGTCCGACCCCCTGCCATGGCAGGAAAGAGTACTGGGGTCAAACAATGGGCAGGGATGGAGGGGCAGTGCAGGACTCCCACTCTCCTGCGGCATCAGCCGGGGACTGGGCTTAATTTGTTCAAAAACCTAGTACATGCAAACACTGATGCAACGCTCCAAAATAAACAAGTTTAAATTTTATAAACCTATTTAATTTAATGAGGATTAAACCCTGTGATGTGTACAGGTACCTCAGCACCTGAAAATGGAGAAGAGGAAAGTCCATTTTTTAGAGAAGAGGGATTGCTTCACCCCATGGTTCCACATTGAGTGGAGAATAAATGCTGAGACTGTGTTGGAACAGTTGGAGAAGAATTACTCTGTGGTATCAGAAAAGCCATAAGAACTGGTCCTTCATGGCTCTGTGCTTGATACACGGGAAGATTTGACTAGAGCAGGTGGGAGACTGAAAAATTTACACCTAGTTCCATGCTACAGCTTCTGATCTGGTTTTAGTGGTGGGAGCTCTCATCTCGCCTGCCCCACTGTCTCAGTTTAGGTCTTGCCTTGGGGTTGTTAACATCTGTAAATTTATGGACAGTCCATAAAATAAAGCCTTAAAATCCTTATACATGAAGTCCATAAAAAATGAACTGTCCATAAAAACTTAAACTCTGAGCTTGATTGAAGATTTGTCATCAGATGAGGCCTGATGGAAACATTCATGGATAGACAGAGTACAGCAGCATCACCTTGTGTCTGAGTGGGAGCGCAGTTTGGCATCCTGCAAGAAGCTCTGTCTCAGGGCTCTGTGGCCCATGGGAGCCTTCATAGTCTCTACCCTCCCCTAGCCACATGCTGCCACTGTGTCCCATCAGCTGTTTGCTTGGATGGTAGACAGGACCGCAAGGCCCTGGGCAGTCAGACATCAGGTGGGACAGGCATGGAGGCAGCGCATCCAAGACAGAGCTGCAAGGCAGAGAATGGGGAGAGGTAGTAGAGTTGGGGGTCCATGCTCGGTTTGGGGTGAGAGGGAAATTGAGGCCAGTGGTGGTAAGGTTTGGGGGTGGGCTGGGGTGAGGGCAGGGCAGCATGGGGTGGGGAAATCATGGCATGAGGTGATAAGGGGACTCTTGGGATGGAGGAAGCATGGTGTAAAACCACTGCTGCAGGCATGCAAGACTTTACTTGGTGTTAAATCCCTCAATTTGAATCTGACCCTTGGTATTGCTATCCAGGGCCTGGCAAAAGGATTATATTTACATCATGTAAAATATCCATCAGTAAAAAGTATGGTTGTAAGTAAAAAGTTTGCAGATTGTCCTTAACATTGTTTTCAGAGTTGGCAACCTTGTCTTGCCTACCCAGAGTTGAGAACAGGTTCATTGCTGCCTGCTCAACTATCTCAATAGAGGTCTTGCCTACCCAGAGCTCAAAGATAAATTTCCCTGCAGCCTGTATAACTGCCCCTGTGTAGGTGAGGGGTGCCAAATTCACCTTGTGGGCTGAACGAGTGGTGTGACGCTGGTGAATAGGCTGGGAAGGTCCCACTCCTCCCCCGCCCCCACTCTAGCCTCCCCTAGCACAGTGGATCTTGTGCCTGCTCCAGCCAGTCTGAGACCCGTGCTGCGTGCAGCGCAGATCCTAGAGTGGCTGGAATGGGTGCTGCATGTGGCACAACTTGGCCAGGGGCATGTATCATGGATCCCAGACTGGCCAGAGTGAGTGCTGAGTTGCATGCAGTGCCCTCACCAAAGGCAATGCCCACTCTAGGAACTGGCCACACATGGTGTCCTCTTTAGCCAGGCTGGGGTCCATGCTGCATGCATTGCTTTTAGGCGGCACATGAGTGTGGGTCCCAGGTACCATGTGTGCTGCAGTGTGGCACTTGCTCCTGCCAATCTGGGGTCTAGAATACACACCCCTGGCTGGATTACATTACATGCAGCACCTGTTCCAGCTGCTCTGGGATCTGCACTATGTGCTCACCTGTGCAGAGCAGTCCTGGAGCATTTGGGATGGGTGCTACACATGGCATGAATCATGAGCCCTGCCTGCAGGGCTGGTTCAGTGTGTGCCGTGCTCTGGGTGGGACTGTTTAGAATCAGTGGCTGCACTAGGGGCCATATGGTGGGGTTCTGCAGGCCAGATCCAGCCTGTGGGCCATATGTTTGACACCCCTGGAGTAGACTTTGCTCCAAGTGCTTCTCTGCAGCCTGCACCTCTGTCTCAGTGAGGACATTGTCCAGATGCTGCCTGGGAGCTGTGTTTTTGTGGCCTGCTCTGTTTCTCATGTCTGAATGTGGAATGGTGATGAGTTGCTGTCAATCAAATAGTTCTCAAAAAGCAAGGAGAATTATTTATGAGAACAGCAATGTTGAGGATGAGAAACCCCAAACCAATGAAGAAACCAAGAAATGTTGAGTTAAAAATACTATGAAGCTTCTGCTATTAAGGGAGACCTGGAGCCTGCTCTATATGTAGCCTGAAGGCAGTATCATTTGAAGCTTTCTTCCTAGTACGAAGTGTAGGCTCAGAGCAAAGATCTGGTCTATTCCCACTTGCAATGGCAGGGACTGAGAATTCCCTTTATCAAAAATAGGGATTACAACTTTCAGCAGCATTTTCTTTCGTTTTTGGACGCAATGGTTTACAGCTAGAATAACAGGTACAGATGTGCCTTAAATTTATCTATCAGTCTGCTCTACAGAAAATGTATTTGTTAAAAGAACGTTACTTAATGTAATACATTTGTTCTTTACATGTGAGAATTGTTACAACAGGGTGCCCCAGTTGAAAGCTATATTGGGAACTTGCTAAAAGTTTGAAATCCACACCTCTTTAGCATAATGGCAGATGATAACCACTCATCATTAATACTGAGGTTTTGTCCCGAATGGACTGTACCTTCATTGGCCAGTTGGTCTTGCACTTGGTATAAATCACTTTATCCTAAGACCTGAACCTTTTGCTGGACCATTGCTGTATGATGAACACAAATGTCCTACCTTTTATGCTTCCATGGGATCCATTTGGTTCAGAAATCAATTTTTTTTTACATCTGTGTTGAAGAAACATAAATACTCACCAGTGGGTTGTTTTCTTCAGTGCTATATATATGGCTCAGTAAAACATCAATTCTCTCCTTTCCAGGAAATGGCTTGTCACTATTTGAAGAGTATGTCATTGGTGGTGATGGAGATTCACCATCTAGGTTCTGTTCCTGATCACTACTAAGTCTATGAGAAGGTAAACTACTGCCACTTTCAGATCCAATAATATCACCTTGGCCATGTGAGGTAGGACTAGGGTTTTGGAAACATCTAAAGGTTTTGAACATAGCTGTAGCTGTCTGTGTCTGTTTCATTTGCCATTCATTTTCATTCTGATAATTTCTAAAACAACAAGAAAAAGATTTAATGTTAGCAAACTATGAGGACTGACTGACTGATTAGGTCCTGCACTTAAGATGGAACAATGTTATGCTCAAATACAGACAGGGGGTGGGAGAGAGGGGGTGTATGCATCTACACATGCAATTAATGCGATGAAATAAACTCAGGAGCAGTTTGAACCACAGTCAGCTGCTACTAGGCACAGCACATGTACCTGGGACAGCAGCAATTTGAGCCGGGGTGGAGCAGGCCCCTGGTTGGCTGTGTTGACCAGGTGAAATGTATGCCCACGGTCAGCATCTACACATGCATTTTGATGCAGTAAAGTACTCTGCTGTAAAACAGTGCTGTCCCCAACAGTACTATCCTATGGTGGAGTTAATTAGTTTACTGTTCCCTAATACCAGTGCATGTATAGACTGACACTTTACTGCAGAGCTAATTAGTCTATTCCACAGTAAAGTGCATGTGTAGATACACCCAGGAATGACTAACAATGTGCTCTTGTGCAAAAAATAGAAGTCAACATCATACTGGACAGTATTATCAGGAGTGTCACTTGAAAGTTAAGGGAAGTGATTCTGCAGCTCTATTTGGTAAAGGTGAGGCCTTACCTAGAGTACTGTAAAGTACTCTCACCCAGGGAAATTAGAAAGAGTCCAATAGAGAGCAGCAAAAATGATTAGAGGTCTGGGAAACTTGCCTTATGAGAAAAGGTTGAATGCATTGGGTTTATTTAGTTTTGGGAAGGCAAGGGGGATGTGGACTTGATAACAGTCTTCAAATACTTGTAGGGTGGTTATAAAGAGGATGGTGATAGTCTATTTTCTGTGGCTGTGGGGACAGGATGAGGATCAATGGTCTCAAATTGCAGCAAGAAAAAATTAGGTTGGATATTAGGAAGAATTTTCTTACTTTAGAACAGATTACTGAGGTTATGGAAGCTCCATTACTGGAAAATTTTAAGACCAGAACAGACAAATATCTGGCTGGAATGGTTTAGTCAGGGATGATCCTGCCTTGAACATGGGATTGAACTAGATATCTTCTTGAGGCCCCTTCCAGCTCTACTTTTTGATGAATATGAAATACAACAAGACCATGTTTTCTGTTGGATTATATCATTTTGCCCATTCTGCCATTCAGATTACTTTGTGTGTCAGTTCCATAATAGATCATTTTTAATTATTTTAAAGCAGCAGTAGGTTGTTGCCAGCCAGGCACTTTTGGAGAATGACACCTGTGCCTGAAACTTCTTTCCCACTTTAGTCTGACATAGTCCAGAATCATTGGCCTGCTAAGATCTTTATTTTCTCATGCTTTAAGTGATTCAGTGAAATGGAAGAGGAAAATGCAAGTGAAATGAAAAAAAGACATTATTAATGAAAGTCTGGAATGTTAATGAATTTTGACCTACTCAAACTTTGCTTGGATATTTTTAAACAAATAAGTGAATGTGCCTAGAAGTAAGCATAGAAGTTTTAATAAATCAAAAAACTGTACATATTGTATAAAAACTCTCATCTGTACCGCTAAAATCAATGTGAGCTTTTTGCCATATTGTACTTCAATCACAGCAGGATCAAGATCAGAATAAGAAAATGAACACTTGCATGTACTTTTTAACTGAACAGGAATTTCTTTTTCTAATTATAACAACTGAAAAAATGCAAGATTATTCAATTCCTTGAGCACTTTATAAGGGTGTTCCATAGCCCTTGAGTCTCACTGACAGTCAGATAGATGTAAAATCAAGTATTTTTATCTACTTAAAGCTCCACCAAGTAAGAGCTACTGCAGTTAACTGCAGTTTATGAAAGAAAAGTTACTACCCATTGCAAACAACTTCTCCAGGCAGCTGTCTGAGGAACTGCTAAAAATATATTGGTACAGTTTTGCAGTTCTGACTTCCACTAACTTAATTAAATAATAATTTCAAAATGAATGCTATTTGTACAGCAGAATATGAAGCAGAATCTGATCACTTCACTTTTTTCTTGCATAACAGGTTTTTCTTTACATTTTTCTAGTAGTGGAGAGAGGCTCTGGTGCATAAAAGTCTGTGCTTATGACAAAGTAAAGATTCTGTTCTTGAAGGTAGCGTATGCAATACCCAATACTTACTTTACCTAATTCCTATAGTAACTTTAATTCCAAAGGATCTCAAAGCACTTTACTAACATAAAATACAGGCATGCAAATCCTACTAAAGATCAGTTCATCTGCCACTGAACTATAACCACATTCATGGAAAAACATGACAGGTGTTCAAGAATGCACAGTAATACTACCCAGGAAAGGGAAATTGGCTTAATAATTCTCTAGGCATGGAACAACAGTCTCTGCTCCCATACCTATCCCATAAAAGGAGGGATTGAAGCAGTAGGAACTATGAGCCATTTTATAATCTCAGCTTGAACATTTAGGAAAGGATGCCTCTGTAATGCTAGTGGGTGCTGCTTTTTTAGAAGCTCACTAACACAAGAAGCAGAGATTCAGAAACCACCTCAAAGAAGTAATAGAGAATATATTTTCCAATTGCATATGAAATGGGGATGAAAATAGGCATGATGCATACTCTGGGTGCAATATATCTAGTAATTATTATACACTCCAAGATAAGACTCCCTGAGACTATTCACAAAACACTCCAGCATTCAGATTAAATATATATTTACTATTTCTTTAACAGAATTCTCCTTTTTACTCTTTACCTCTCATTGAATAGATACACTTTGCTCTTCTGAGCCAAAACAAATCCTTCTTTTTTCTGTTTTAAAGCCCATTCTGTCCGCTGTGGAGTAAGGGCATTGTGAAGAAGCTGCCGCAAGTGAAAAGAGCTGGCATGAATAATAAAAACATGGATTGTTCATCTTGTGTTCTGACCTTTTGGAAAGTAATTTTCTTTAAAAGCCCACAGCAAAGGTCTCTGTGATCTGTTTTTTTCAAAACTGATTCTCTATATATTTCATAATAGTTATTACTGTTATGTTGTAACTTACTTCACTAAGGCCAAGATTTCCAAACCCTGCTGCCTGCAGTTATGATTTCTTTTAGATAGTAAAAATAGAAAAAAAATGAAACAAAACAATACATTGAGATGCTTAAATAAGTGGCCTGGCTTTTCAAAGCAACCCCAGTTCCCATCAATGTCCCTGGAGCTCAGCTGCTGCTCAGTGGGTGCATCTACACATTAATTAATACACTGTAGTTACTGTGCATTAAATTTAGTACTTAATAATCAAGTACTAAATCAATGCAAAGTAACCAGTGTTACTGTGCAGTAGTGCCGGTGCATACCTTTTTAGTGATGTTACTGTGCAGTAGTCTAATAATACTGCACAGTAGCATATGAGCACTGTTTGTGCTGTGACATGACACGGTCACAATAATACATGAGTACTATTAGGCTACTCATGTAGCTGCACCCATTGTTTTGAAAAACATTTCAGCTATTCTTACGTGCTGCAATATGGATTTTGTGCTTTGTCTTTAGGCACAAATGTCACAATTTTGGCTTCAATTTCTGTCAATCTAGTATCATAGAATCATAAAAAAATAGGGTTAGAAGGGACTTCAGGAGGTCATCTAGTTCAACTCCCTGCTCAAAGCAGAACTGTCCCCAACTAGATTATCCCAGCCAAAGCTTTGTCTAGCCGGGTCTTAAAAACCTCCAAAGATGGAGATTCCACCACCTCTCTAGGTAACCCATTCCAGTATTTCACCAACCTCCTAGTGAGAGAATTTTTCCTAATATCCAATCAAAACCTCCCTTGCTGCAACTTGAGACCATTGCTCCTTGTTCCGTCATCTGTCACCACTGAAAACAATCTAACTCCATTCTTTTTGGAACCACACCCTTCAGGCAGTTGAAGGCTGCTATCAAATACCCCTCAGTCTTCTCTTCTGTAGATTAAATAAACACATTTCCCTCAGCCTCTCCTCAGAAGTCATGTGCCCCAGTCCCCTAACCATTTTTGTTGCCCTCCACTGGACTCTCTCCAATGTGTCCACACCCTTTCTGCAGTGAGGGTCCCCAAACTGGACACAGTACTCCAGATGTGGCCTCACCAGTGCAGAATAGAGGGG